CAGCACACTGTTTCAGAAGAGCTTGATGAACAATCGGTAGCTTTTTTATCAAGCTATTCTAAAACGGTGACTTCTCAGTCGGTTCCAAATCTTTTGCAACTGATTGAAAATAACAGCACAAGTTACGACAGTAGACCGTGGTAAAAAGAACGTTGTTTAAGATCATGATGACAACGACTAGGAAGATGATGTGGTGATTGTGGTGATGATGTTGATATTTCACATGATCCCGTTTGGTGAGAAAGTTGATAATGATCATGATTCTGATGTATAGGTTGTTGTCACTGTTGAGAAGAATAGGGATTCCTCTGTTTTTGATGACGCTCGTGGGTAAAACCATTTGAATGAGTAAGCTGATGATGATGATGACGATCGATATACCGATAGTGGGGATAAAAGTCGAAGTGGTGCTGCTACTGACGATTTTGACGGTGGTCACGCTGATGGCGACGTAAATGACGGTGATTTTTTTCTTGCTGAGTTTCTGGTGACCGAAATGCCAGTTATCACAAACTCAGATTTCATGTGAGATAGTTAGTGACCAGTAAGTAAGTTTTGACACAAAGCATCAAGTCGATAGCAGTAAAATTGGAGAAGATTCCTAATGCACGATTACTGTATGTTAGCCCCTCCTGATCCAATTTTCGACACTCAGTCCGTTTCGCTACTGTATGCATAACATTAGCTTAACTTTTTCCGACTTTTGTGTGCATCTGATTTAAATGTTGAATGGATTGTTGTTCATTTAAGTGTGCCTGTACTGGATAAGTGATATGGTTTCCAATGGTTTTCGTTTTGTTGGACCAAGACACAATTCCCGTGTAAGTCTATGCATAAGGACGACTGTCGTTTTTCGCGTTTTGAAAATGTGAGGCTAGAAGGCTTATTATCTGGGCACAGTAATAAGACGAAGGAAATTACGCACTGATCGGGACCCATTGTGAATGAAATGACTATGAATTCTACCATCAGCCTGTGTGCTGTTTCCCAAGTTCTTTTGACATTTTTTGAATGTGGTCGTAACCGGTATCCAATCTAAGTAAGAACGATGCACTGGTTTGTCAACTAAGTTTGATGTTATTTGTCGTGTCCTATTTGTCAACGGTGAGCTACATTCGATTTCAAAATACTTGGAATTTCTAAAGCAAGGAAGTCACATTGTATCAGGGAAGTCTTTGGGTGAGGTAGTACCACTGTGACAACAGAATCGCTACACCAGAAATCAGTGAGCAAGTCATGATTTAGGAAAAACTAAGCACAAATTGAAAGTGGCCTGGGGTCTGCAGTCCTCTAAGAAAAGCTCTAAAATTGTGTTTATCTACTTCAACTGCCTCTCAAAAATATGCTTTGTAGTAAAATACTTGCACCTTATATTTATTTTTAGGGTTTTCAAATAGTCTTCCAGATGTTTAGAATTGGGAAATCCATCAAACTGTCAAATGTGACCTTCTCTACTAAGCGCGGAACACCAGTCAGTGGATAGACTGCCTGGTTGCCGTCTTTTTTACTCCATAAATTTGACGGAAAGGTGACGAGATCATTTCCAATGTCACGTACACTAGATAAAAAAACGACACCCGAATTCAGATAGATGAACGAAACTGCCAGGGGAGATTTCATTATCCTCGGTAGAAACATATCAGTGGGAAATACTGACGATCGAATCGCATAATACGATGCACAACCATGTCCCGCTGAAGTGCTTGAAAAAAGGATATATATATCCTCTACTTGTATTGAAGTCTAAGACATTATAAACGCATCTGAGCACCACTGCGCCATCAGTCGGCTTTACACCAAGTGTTTTGTGAACTTCGCCAAAGGGAAGCGCAACAGAAAAGAAAAACAAGCCTTAGGTAGACAGTGCACTAAGTTCGGAATCCCCAAACGTTACTTAGAAAATGAAGGTTTTACATCCCGTAGGGTTTCTAGCTATAAGAGAGAACAACCCAACTAAGGAAATGCCAATATTCGACAAAGCTCTGTGTGATTGCAGTCACCTTTAATTCTATTTGAAAAGTGTTGGCGTGTTCTCAGTGAACGATGATTAATTTTTGATGTCTGATATCTCCAGTTCAACTGGACAGTTTGACAACTGTAGAGCAGGACCGCTCTTACGAGTGCTTCTTGGACACGTCAATTCAGCTATTGCAAAATACGTTTCCTACGCTATGAAAGATGCAACTTTGCAAATGTTGCCTGTTCCTCAATAATGCGCACATTGGCTTCATTTCATTTCACGGCATCTTCTCGGTATATCCACCTACCAATATGGCAGACGAGTCATCAACCTCAAGGTCCTCTCCCTGTAGCTGCAGGGAAACACAGGCCATCCGAAGTCCTCAGAGAACACTTTTTACCGTGCAAGTGCCAGACGCATACTGAAAGAAGAGATTACATCCGAAATTGTACTCAATCCACAATATGCAGACCCACTGGTGGAATGCCAAAGGAACTTCAGATGCACAGTCGTCTACCGGTAGTTATCTAGACTTAGTTATGCCAGTGATGGCCTCGATTCTTCTAAGCATGAATTCCACGAAATATAGACGAAAACATTTGGAGGTAATGTCGTGAGAGTGCACCCCAGCCAAACCATGGTAGTTGCAGGAAAATTTCGGAATGTTTCTCTTTAAAAATGTGCACGGCAAAAACTACTAGGAGGGATAGCATGAAATATATTTATAGGTTTCAGAGACGATTCTCTCTGGCCAGCGTATGGAATAAAACTGACATGACGAAGGAGGTACTGGCTTCGAAGTGTTTGGTGGACGGCATGTGCAGCATCTTTCATTATGAAGACGTGATTAATACACTTGCTATCTTGTAGAAATCCCGCTCGTTTTCATCTGATTTGCTTCCAACGTGTCAGGATTAGCTGATGGAGAACCACTGAAGTTCGCGGACTCTATAAGACGAGCGTAAAGCATGTAACTCAGCGCTTGGAACAGTCGATGTATGTACTTTTATTTAATAGGATCATTGTAATTGATGGGCTTAAGTTGCATGAAACACTTTTTCGTTCCAATTGATTTCGTGTCTTTTAGCTAACACGAGGCCGTCACCTTTTTTGAGCAGATGTCCCCGGAAGCTCACCTGCCTCAGAAACCCCATACCACTTTAGGGATTAATGGCATGTCCCTACCTCACCAGCTTGGGAAAGATCTAAACTCATACACCACAGTTCCAGCTGGTGAAAAGAAAGAAAATAGTTCGGAATGCTAACCAAAGGGTTTTTCCGTAACATTCGTTCAGTAACCTGGGACTTAACTTTTATCACGCACTATATAGATTGGCTTTGCTTGTGAAGTTCATGATTGTATGTGGGTTGAGAGATGCTTCTAGGGTTCCGGAACATGAGCAGTAGGATGATCTCGGTCCAAAAGCCTGGCGCAAATGCTGCATTGAAATCATTTTGTATAATCTAGTATTCTACTGTGGTACACAGTGCGGGTACAGTGCGACAAATTTCAGTCTATGAGTGTTGGTGTGATGTCTGCACTACAGATTGAAGATCCGACTAATTTGCAACTTCCGCTCATAGAATTTCACCTCACTTCGGCAAATTGGGTTTTGTTTGGGCTATAGACTTACGAAAGATGATATTCCTATCCGGATTCGGAAGGTCAGAGCAGCTTTTGTGAACCAACATCTATTGAAGCGCCGGAGTGACAACCGCTTATCTGTCAAGAGTCGCGTTTACAATGCTATGATGCAATGTATATTATTATGCCAGTCGAATACCTGGCCGCAGCGCACCGAGGACGTCAAATGACTTTAAATCTTTGAACATTACTCTCGTCTTAGCATTGCCCGAGTGTAGTTACAACACTGATCAGTAATCCTGAAGTAAGCCGGATGTTTTTCGAAAGAAATAACTCACCCACAATGGATGAACTGATCACACTCAATAGGTTGCGGTGGCTTGGTTACGTGTGCCAGTTGACCGATTTCCTCTCACAACCGCGTGAAGGGTAAAAACGAACGAGAGGATCTCAAACACTGATTTGGTAGCGAAGTATGAAAACCATTACCAACAAACTCAGCTGCGCTCATGGATGGGAACGCCGAGAGGGGACAACTTAGTTGTTAGAGACAGTCAGACATGACCAGCGGGGCCCTTGGTGGTGTGCATGCATCCAAGCGATTGTCGTTAGTGAATACCCCCCCCCCCAAACTCCTCCGTGAAAAGTCCACTGACAACTTTGTATCTACACGTCAACCTTACCAGCCACCGCCTTAAATGCATAGCTGTCTACCAGAAGTTCCCGGATCATTGGTGATCGAAAAGTTGAAGCTAGGATCACTGTATGGGATGTACACGGTTTTTATAGCTAACGGTGGTGCCAATGATGACGAATTATGGCTTTTTCAGACGAGTGCCAACATGGTTTCAGGTTACCCACTTTTCACATTTGCATCGGGTCTCTGAATACTGCATTGTGGTTTGTCGGTAAGAAACGTTCTGATACTATTCATACGGCTCTTATTTACCCATGCTCAAAACCTCGACCAATATCCCATCGTTTGATGTCAACGTTTATTCCAACTTTGTTCTTCTGTCTCATTGCTCTGATTTTTTAGTAGCAGCTTTTGATACTATAGAGTGCAGCGCAGCTGTGTTCAGATAATTGAGCTGAAATACTGTGAGCAGTTCAGCAGATCTTGAGAGTAATAAATTCAGCACATTCGCTTCATTTCAGAATGTTCTAACCTAGTTAAAACTTTTAACATTCTGGTCCTCACGACCGGACAGCCAAAGATCCATTTGTTTGTTTCCTAAATTATTGATTGCGTAACTGAGAGAGCGCGTGAACAAACACAGTAATGAGTGAACGAGTGAACAAATAACCAGATAAACAAACGAACGAATCAACGAATCGGTGGACACTACTCCGCTCATCGGATGGCCTGTAAAGGCTAAGAATCTTCCATTCCGTAAATATGCCCTGTATTTCTGGCAATTGTAATCATAGAACACGCACTCACAAGACTCTCGTTTAAACAATCGTAACCTGTCCTCGCGCAATCGTCTTAACCGAAGGGGAGAAGCGGTGGACTCGAGTTCTGCTCGTATTAGAACTCATCAGCAGTGCATATCCAATGGCTATGAAGGGGTTTGAAATCCGCACATCTGACATGCGAGGCAAGTTTGTTACGACTACTCTACCAGCGCATGCTGGACTCATCCGGAAATTTACTTTTGAACATATGCACGCAAAGGGTAAAACACCTGTGATACAGACAGTGAGACAGTTACGCAAGCATGCTGAAAGCCGAATCAACCAATGGTTTCATGAGGTTTCCGCACGATCAACTAACCTATCATTTGTTCACGTGCCAATAAAATGAACATTATTTCTGGATTTCGACAAATTATCATGGATCAAGTTCATTCGGCCAGATTTCAGACCAACAATTATTTTTCAGTTCCTCACTGAATATCACTTACCGTTGACCAATGTGCACACTGGCGCGCTTCATTGACGTTGTGCGTGCGCGCTCGTTTGAACCTGTTACCGATCGATACACAATAGCGAAGAGCACGTAAGCTAGACAAAACGTCACTTGTTGTTACACACGATGATGCTCTCATATCTTGTCGAAGAACAGATGTAAAAGCAACTGCCGATTCTGACCATGCCAACAAGACAAGCAGAATTCGACGACATCCTGTTAGAGAAGACGAAGGAATTTCGTGAGCGATATTTTAACCCTCCCAAAGAGGTTGTTTCCATGGAGGACTTTGAACGAATACGTACGCTTGGACGTGGAGCATTTGGACGAGTTTTACTTGTGCGCCATTGGGATAAGGATCAGTACTATGCCCTCAAAATTCTATCAAAAATTGAAATAGTCAAAAGCAGACAAATAGAAAATGCCATAAACGAGAAGAGAATATTGGCCGCATGCAACTTTCCTTTTATTATCAAACTGTTTTTCAGTTTTAAAGACAACAGCTATCTCTACATGGTGATGGAGTTTGTTATTGGCGGGGAAATGTTTACTTTGTTACGGAACATGCGCCGATTCCCCGATAACATGGTGAAGTTTTATGCCGCCCAGGTTGTGATGGCGTTTGAATATTTACACATGTTGACCATTGCTTACCGAGATTTGAAGCCGGAAAATCTACTTATAACTGGAGAGGGATTTCTGAAAGTGGCCGATTTGGGCTTCGCAAAAATGATACCCAAAGACAAACGGACTTGGACTTTGTGTGGCACACCAGACTACATGGCACCGGAAATTATCATGAGTAAGGGTTATCACTGTGCTGTGGATTGGTGGGCGTTTGGTGTTCTTCTTTATGAAATGACAACAGGCTTTCCTCCTTTCATGCATCAAGATCAAATGAAAACTTTTGAACATATTATTTCTGGAAAAATCAAATTTACCAACAACTTTGGTCCCGAGTTAAAAGATCTTATCCGAAACCTAATTCAAGTCGATCTCAGCCGAAGATACGGAAATTTGAAAAATGGCATAGCGGATATAAAAGAGCACGCCTATTTTTCTGACTTGGATTGGTTACAGTTGTACAATATGCAAGTGCGTCCACCATATAAACCAAAATACAAGGGACCTTCAGATACGAGCTGCTTTGAGAAGTGGGAAGAAGAAAATTTGAAAATCGCAGACAAAGAGAAGTTCAAAGTTGAATTTGAGGATTTCTAGTATGTGTTTACACGGCATTTATTTTCGCACTTTGTATGACACAAGCTTCAGTGTCATACACAAACTTAATTTAATCTTATATGGTCTCAAATATATATTGATTTTCTTGTAACTTTTTACCAGCTGGTTGTCGGTTATATCACCTCGGCGAATATCTTAGATAATGGACGAGCATTTCATTATGTTAGATGGTTGTCAGGTCACGTGGAGTGACATTTATCGAAAGTGAGTCAAGTAGTATACTAGTAAAATTTAGTGGAGTTGGCCAAACCACAGGCTGCACTCAAGGTCGATAAATTAGGAGGTAAAGTGTAGAATGCATATTTTTTCGAACGGTAAATGATTACAGAGTTCAGAATCCTAAATGTGCTACAGCAATCGCCAGTGGTTTTACTTTAGACTTCAAAATGAGTGGAGAGAGACGTTTTATTCCGTAGAATGGGACATTTACAAAAGCTGTTTGTTGTCCAGTCTTTATTCGTACTAAAATCCGTTTATTAATCGCCTGTTGTACGTCTGCTAATTAACCTCCGGTTTCTCCGAATCCAGCGCAAATCTACTGCGCACGTCACAATGACTGAGGAATTGGCGACCGATGTCAGCCTGACCAGTATTAAAATCGGTTTCACCTTTCGTTGTGTGTATTCATTATACAGAGATATGTGTCATGATTTTTTGGTAACTGACGCCGCTAACGTAATTTCACTGTTTTTTGGTCACCTAACTAATGCTCTTAATTGCTTGGGTTTTCCGGAGAATGCCAGCTACCGTTAGGATACTTACAGTAACGGTTTTGCACCAGCACTATAAAATTACCAACATTTCTAACAATCTTGGTTCAAAGACCATGCGGTTAGCCAGAATGCCTACAATTTCATGATCATTCTGTTGCAACGTATTTCAAAAACTCTTCTGAACCTGACAATACCTCTGCCTTCACAAGTTGCATGCAAGCGCGGTTTTTTAATGACTCCGTTCAATGGCACACAATGAATATGAACTACCAACCAACATCTAAAACAACTAGCCAAGTACTCCCTCACAGTCAATCGAAGATATATCGGGGCTCATGTCCTCCAAAACTAACTAAGCTACCGATTGATAGAGCAGACTAGGAAATGCATTTTTCAAGGGGATTACACTCAGATGGCTTCAATCAAACGGTGAGGGCGGCACATATACTCTTACTCTTAAGACTTATTCGTCTCTATATCCGTTTTTGAAATTCAGGCAAACAAACTACGTCATCCGTTTTTGACAATTCACTTGCGTCATCAGATTTGCCAAACCATTAGTAGCGAAATTAGCAGATGCTAACTTTAGCCCCTGAAAGATTTCCAGCACGTAGAAAGTAAGCACAATTGAAGCATGTAATAAGTCTCCTAAGATCCACCGTTTGAATTAGAACTTTCGGGGGTGAGGGTTTCAGTGAATATAAAATATAAACCTATCACTACCCGTTTCAAATAGACTTTCAGCCATGCCTTCACGAGGATTTGCTTGACTCAGTGGTTATTTCGTGAGTCTGAAAAGGTACCCTGGCGCTGAATTGGGTGGCAGCACTGAATTCTCCTCCCGAAAGGGGAAGATTCCCGCACTTGCAACATAGCGCCGAGTATGCCAGGCGGTCAGTGTATTGCCCCTTAGCCCATAATGCTGCCTCAAACTGTCAGCGACCGTCGTTCGTGTGGTTTGGAGTAATGAGGCGCCGCTCCGTAAAAATATTTGTTATGCAGTTTTTGCAGCCTACTGCCTAATTTTTAGCACTGAATGCATATATACTATCAACAGGAATTCAAATATTCTCGTTTTAAGTGAGAGAAACCAGCACCAGAAGGATCCGAAATATTCAAAATAACCCAACAAATTTGTCAAAGGTTTTCTCGTTGCATCGAAAAAGATATGCAAGTTAGACATCGATCTATGGGTCAGTCGGTGTCACCTTAACTAATGGTGCACCATTTTTACCCAACTTAATCCTGCAATCCATATAAAGACTGACATCGAAGAATGTGTTCAATCAATCGGATGTTAAATCAGAAATGATACCTAAGTTTCTAAACAGTAGAAAATAATGTGATGTGCTAGTATTCAGTAACGAGTAACACGTGTCACAAGGAAGACCTAGAAAAAGTTAAAAAACAATAGTGAGGTGGGCATTTGGCAGAATGATTCCAATGGTTTTTATGCGGCACCACAAAGGGACCTCCAAGAGTTGGTTGAAGGGCTATTCTATCGAATCGGATTGTTATGTAAAAGTTACCACTGACAAGATCTGACCCCATTATGCATGTATTCAACAGTATCATGAAACCAAACGTAATTCAATGCGACTAACCTCTGACTGATGTTACACGGACAGTGTGAATAGCGAAGCAATACCCACAGATTAAATATTCAAAATCTCTCCTTTTGCCCATCGCAAATAGCATTTCACTGCATCCGAGAAACCTTAGAAACACATCTAGGATTTCAGGTGTGAGGCCAATTCTTCCGTTTATAGCATGTAAAAAACTGTAGCAATAAGTCCTCAGCAGCATCAATCCTAGCATCTGTGGTGCATTGAATAATCACACACAACACGTACATTGGTGCGCAATTAAGAAAAAATCGAGAACGGCCTGAACATGTTGAATGACAGAGATATGCGCTCATAGTCAAGCAAGTGACACCGCTAAGATTTTTAAGTGTGCACTATTTCCAGGTTAAAAGCTTGGCTTTATTTGATCGGCGTTGTGATGCCTGGCAACATCAGAATAAACTCCCCTGTTGTGCAACCGTTATACTTACCTAACAGTATTCCAAACGTCTGGGAACCAGGCACCCAAGAGTTGTTTGTTTGATAGAATCACATTCTGGAAAAGTGTAATGTTCTTTTAACTTAAGACTAGCGCAAAAGGGGAGTTTACTTACCTTAAAACCATGGTTTAGCTAACCTAGGAAATTTGCAAATATGCTACTTAAATAAACATAGTTGCTCAATACGGAAGTGGTGAATGGTATATTACGTTTGATTACAAAGCCTTGGAAATGGTTATGTAGATTTCGAACCAGTTTAACTACGACAGTAGTGTATGGATAGCTGATCGCTTACAATAATCAGTTACGCTTAAGCTATTAGATTGAATCAAAGTGGACGGGTACGCAGGCGTATTGCAAACAATTGATCAGGTACTCCGTAATAGGGGGCAAACGCAGTAGCTTCCAATGTTGTCAAGCTTCTTTTTACTCCGTTTTAACCCGTGTAGGCTTGACGAAACCAAAGTTCTGCCCACGTTAGCGTGAGAAATATTCACCAACCTGTAATTCTGCAACTGTATGGACATGCAATTTCCGGTGTACAGAAATATGCTTTCTCCTCACTTCATTAGCAAAGTGTATATTGACCAGAAAAGGCAAAAATATTGTCATCAGAAATAATAACTACTAGGCACGTATTTCAGATGAAGGGGTCAAACAAAGACGCCGATTTCAATTGCTCCCAAATATAAACGTCCCCGTTCCTGATAACTATAATTACTTCGTCAAACGTCTAAAGAATCAGGCAAAAGCACGGATATTATCCCGGACTTAGTTTGATGGGGTTGCCGTATAATGACTGTCTTTGAAAAAGCGCAAACACCGGGGAGATTAGGTTGAAATAAAAAAGTAACCGGAATGTAGGTTCCTTAACACTCACCTTGTACATTTGCAGTCCAAAATCCCGTATGTACTTGACGCCAGATCTCAAATCTTTCAGTGAATGGAGCCCATAAATTAATGACTTTTTGATACTTATTGTTGCTCATTAATGTTTGATAAGGAACTCACGCAGAAAAGTGCCATTCTATTGAGAGTAATTCAATGTAACTGCGAGTAACATCGAGTAGGAAATTTTTCGCCGATTCCTGGATGCTGTGCTCACCGGAGCAGCATTGTTGTAACGGTTATGTACTCTGAGAAATGATCCGGGGCCAACAGCTGCTTGATACTGACATCAAAATGACTCATGAATTGCTGTATTAACCTGTGAGCTAGCCTGGCACGTCCAACAAATTAGATGTTAGATCAAACTTGCTACCTTTCAGGATGCCGTTGGGCATCTCAGCTGCAGGCTGTGGTGTGGTTCAGGTATGGCTTAGTTGGTAGAGACCTGTAGTATCCTTTACCGAACATATTATGCTATAGTACTGAGTTCGTGCCAGGTTGTTGGCGACCATATAATTAAACATCCATTAGAAAGACAGTAGTACCAGTCAGCTGTTGTGTCCCTACTGAAGGGCTAGTGAAGCATACTCATTAGCATTTTTAAGCAGAAAAAGGGTCAAGAAACCGTGGAATACACGAAAGAAAAGTATGAATTTTGAAGTAAACCCTGTTTGTGGTACGCCCAAAAGTGCCCATCCCAAGCGCTGTATGTTCATAGAAACCTAAACTGAGCAGTAGGTACCTGGAGCACCCTCCTAGGTTGTACTAGCATGGCTAAATGCATCACACCTTTCAAAATGCATGCAACTTATTTGTCCGACGAGGTCCTCCTACCGATTGGAGTAAAACTATGAGCTAATCCCAACCCATCCAGTTAATCAAACGCCACATTGAAAGCCAAACATGCTTGAAATGGACGATAATTTCCTGCTTTAGTCATCAAAAGAAACAATTCTTTTGATTCCATGTAACATCGGCCGAATCAAGCGTCTAGAGTAAAAACAGCAACGATGAGCTTTTCCCGGCAATAGCGTTCTCCAGTTCGTTGTGCACGAATCAGTTTCACACCGGTGGCTACTAGGTTATCCTCAACTTTGTTGGTAGAGTTTTAGAAAGAAATCGGTTCAGCGATGCTACCAAAAGTCGTGAAAAATATTTACTGTTTATATAAATATATCCAAAATGACATTTTTTACCTTAATGGGTTTTTGCATAATACAGCATGAGGATTACTAGAATTCTTTCCTTTTTGGTAAGTTTCATTCAGTTACTGAGTGAGAGGGGCAGTACACCATTCGGGCATCTTCCATACGATTTTATATCAAACTACATTTCCCACGCATAATTCAGTTCCAAAGTGCCATGCAAAAGTAAATCGATAATGTCCCTTCTAGAGTATTAGCCTTTTCATCATCTCCATAATCCTTCAGCTCTTTTGGGTTCATTTTGCTTCCTTGAGAAGCCTGAGAGTTTCCGTTGTAAACGCTATAGTTAGAGAATATTAGCGCTGTGTTCGGTGCAAATGAGCTTGAATGGATGGTGTACTGTGTGTGTCATTTGGTTTGATTGTTGGTGGAAAATCACAGCCGTAACAGCAAATTTTAACTAAATATTTCGTTTACCATGGTTGACCTCCATAATTTCTTGAATAAACAATGCTTGCAATTCGTACGATGAATATATAACTCGAATAGGACGTTCGAATTTTAAACAAAGATAAGTCAAACCCAAGGGTGGAGACAGGATATAATGTCAACTCCAGTTGCCATAACAACCGTTTGGCATAGGCATGGCAACCGAAATAATGGTAGGCGAAAAGGAAATTCCTTTACCAATTTCTAGTTAGAATGGGTTGGGTCGCATGCAATTTTCCATCGCTAATAGTGAAACATGGCAATCATTCAGTGCACATCAGCTTAGTCCATTGTTGCCATGGGGCATTCAGCGCAGAAGTTTGTCCAGTTTCATAAGAAAAGTAAATTTATCAAAATATCCTCAAATTATGAACTCCCTAGGAGCAAAATACGAACTCTAATAATCAGCGGAACTCGGAGGAAACCCCCTGGCCAGAAGCCTGACAGCCTAACACCCGAACAATGCACGGGTAATTTTGTGGTGAAAATTCAAGAGATTTTATATTTTGCTATCGTTGATGCGTTTTCAAGTCCCTCCCGTTTAACCGTCTGCAAACAGTCGTTTGCGTGACTGCAAACCGAATTCCAGTTATACGGTCGTTTCTGTGTCAGTCTGGTCTTCTGCGCGAGAAATATTATGTGTTGCCACATCGCCTGACTTTGAGAATAGTACTGTTAGCCCGACGAAATATCACGTAAAATAGCGTTGAAAAAGACAGTCCATCAACAGAAAAACATAGGAACTTCTTGATCTGCAATGTTTTATTGGATTAGTTACCTGTCAGGGTAACGTCTTTGCAATTCGTGGTTTTGCTCAGTGAACTGGAGGATGCTTGTGTTTGAGCGCTATTAAGTAACACTCGAAGAAGGCTGCTTCGCGACAGCTCCGACCGTCCTAGTGTTTTGCAGCAGTGAGTAACTGTACTCAGTACTGCTCTGATTCTGAAGTTTGGCGGCGGTCTCCTTTGTATAAGTGTTTTCTCGATGCATCCAGCACAACAGGCTCCGAATGTTACCGCCTCTGCTGGCAAAATGACTGGATAGATGTGCAAATCTGCTTTTTATTGACCGGTACACGATTAGCTTTTTTGGGAAGAGAGCTTCCACATGTGTAGGTTTGTGAAGTTCTAGGAGAGACAGCACTCGATCTGTTAATACGATGTTAGATTGTGACCATCCAGAAAATGTCGAAGAGTCAATTCTAGTTAGCTAACTGCTGGGATTAAATTTCACGAGTGACATGAAACAAGCCCACGGTTTGTTTGGACCACAGGGTATAAGCTTCAGAGTTGACATATATGGAGCTGTCTGACGAATTTGCTGGGTCCACTAGATGACGATTCCTTCGAGTGGGCTTGCCACCTGAACACACGTACCTTGTTTGTTAATGATAGCCCGTCGACTAGGAGAATGTTTCTTCAGTGTCGAAGATAGCGTGTTCTGCCCATCACATGATGAATATAATTTGTCAGCCAGGCGCAAGTACTACTGTGACTACTGCTGGGACCAGCGGACACCAGACTTCTTCACCCAGCCAAGCTCTTCTGCATGTCGACGGCACTGAGTCGAAACAATCTTCATCGAAATCCTGTGCTAGCAATCAGCGCAGGGCAACTAATTGACTGTGCTTGTGCTAACACTTTTGCGGACGTGAATTTGATGGTGGGGTAACGAGCCAGTCTTCAGTCTGGTGCACTTTTCAGAGCCCTCAGGTGTGAAACGCTCCGTCCTCTCTTGCGTGTTGATTGGAACTTGCGTGGAATCATGTTGTTTACCGCGAACGCAACCAACACGCCAAAAACTAACGGGGTTATCAGAGCCCCTGGAGTTTCTAACAAGGCTTGCTGTCCTGGCTACCTAATTGATATAACGAGGAGTTGGTTCAGCCTCGAAGAGGTCATTTTTAGAATAACACTCGTATTGATTCGATATCCATGACTATATTGCACAAAATTGTCAGTTTCCGAACAGTTATCTATTAACATCATTCTAGCTGAGCAACACAGCTGTAATTTTGAGTATAGAATGATGCATTCACGAAAGACACCTTTTAACCCGGGTGACGAAGTTGGCAGTTTCCTGGAAGTACCCGTCATTGAGGGTATTCCATCGCTTCCAATGCAAATAAGTAAGATCTGAGCTGTTTCTCGGTAGCGCTTCCCTCATGAAAATTATCGCATTGGGAGAAAATGCTTTAATTCACTGCACACTAATCCGTTGTTTATAAGAGATTTCATTATATTGAGAAGTCAGTGTATCCTGAAAATTTGAGAAAGACTGTACAGCTGTTTCGCCGTTGTTAGAAATCAACACCAGCGCGCATTTCACAAAACTCAGAGAGCTTCGAACCCGTGCGCTTCTCGCCAACGGTTGATAACCGTTTGGGTACGAACCGCTGACCGGCAGTGTGATAAGCTTTCACTGAGACAAGGCATAGCGCCATCCATCTTTCAATCACGGAATTGGTATCATGTGGTAATATACTGATGGCTTCTTGAGTGGCGAGGAATTGCATCCGCCAGCCATGCGTATTTTGACGTCAGCTTCTCAAAGTATTTAGAAGAAAGCCCTTTCTCCAACTAATCGAACTGATGAGTACACGCCCAAACATTACCAAAGACTAGTTCTCCGGGCAACGGTTGATATGAGTTGTCTAGGTTTTAAATCGTGGCATGACAAGCATATCATTATCGTGGCTAAAACGCAAAGGGGTGTTCAATTTCGCATTTATAAATGAACGAGCACAAATTGAGCCTAAGCCGTCCAAATGTGGAAAGTTGTGGAGGTAAGTGGTACTGTGATTTTTCCCCGACAGACCTGAGGCTAGAATTACGAAGTATTACGCAAATTAGTCTGATTTTTAACCTTGATACTTTTGTCTTTTCAAGTGCAAGATACATGGAATTTCTATTTCACTGTCAGCGAATTTGCTTTTGGTTTTAGAGCCACATTCATAATATGACAAGCAAGAACGGTTGCCTCTTCGCGTGATTATTCTAGTGAGATGTATTAAATGGCTGCTCCTTGTTCCTCGGAAGGCTCCTCTTTGGAAATTTTCGAGACCTGCTTTGTAGTACGTATCCATCCTTATGCACACTACAGCTGCACTGATTAGAATTGAGCACACATGAAATTTTTATGGAGGCCGATTGAAACACTACTCATAGAGCGTTTAGTAAATTATAATGAAACACATGGGACTGTAGAGGCAAGTTGACCAGGGGAAAAGTACGAACCAGCCAAACAATACACTTATAAACTTGAAATTGACATTTGGTTTTTCTGCAAAACGGAACCCTTTTTACGGGACGCCCCAAAGAAAGAGGTTTCGGTGAACACAACACGCCAGGTATCGATCGGGACTTATTGCGCACAAATAGTCTGAATAGATGAAGTTTCCATTTGCGATACTCAATTTGAGGAAGTTTGTGGACATGATTTATGGTGGTAAATTTACTGCCAAAAGTAAGTTTAAGTTTTTCAGGTTCATATCACCGTGTTCGTTTTACATCTACATTGATTCTAATGCCTAGTGTGACACCATTGCCTGTTTGCACTAAGGTACTCCTATAACCATTCCAGTGTCCTATGATTTTATGTAACTCCCAAGGGTAAGAAAATGGCAGCCCGAAATCCACCATGTTTCTCTGATAGTAAATATCCAGCTATTTGGGTAGGAACAACAAACATTTAAACTACTCACCCTGGGTGGATTGTAGATTCTAATCAGTCGTAATCGGCACTGAGTACAAGTATATGATTAGTTTCAGGTTAGTCGATACGCCCTCTGACGGAAAATTTAGTCGGTTATTAGCCCATTATCAGAGCTTGAAAAGCGGAAGCGGTTGGCCACTGCTTCGTCGGGCGGGTGGGCCACTCACAAATTACCAAACTCGGGAAAACGGACCAACAAAAAGTGAAGTGCGATATTTCCAAAATGTGGCGAGGGAACTCACAGTCTGAGATGAAGAAAATTAGCACACCTCATTTCATGTCAATGATGAAATTGAAAGAATTTGCGCCGCAACACTGGGTTGTTCAATTAACTGGCCGTCTATTAATGTTGCGGTGTTCTCCCAAGAATTAACATTCTTTATGGCCTCAGCATGATAAGGATTAGGCAGGGTTGTTTGTGTACAAAAACGGGTGTCCGAATAGTGAAACAAAGGAATAACAGTTCAAACAGACATAGCAGTAGGATATTATGCGATTTGGGCCTTTGCGTGTTCGGATCGAAAATTTGTGGATTTGCACTTAAGACATAAATGCGATTTAGAGCAGAGTTCTCTTTAGCTGCTGAAACGGCATTAAAGCGACTCAAGGTTAATTAAGTATTATGAGCGATACGCCAATCCCTTGAATCCTTTGTCACTCTGGTTGTTGAACTGGATCACTCGCCACCTGCTTTTGGCAGCAGACAGTGTTCCAGTTGTTTAAGCACATTATGAAACTAGCAGCTACGAATATCTGCACACCACAACTTCAGATCCCACCTATACATACATTTACGACTAATCTATTTTACCAGGGATTTCACCTCTAACTCACCATGGGTTACCTTGTCTGGAGATTACTTTGCTTAACAGGAGGCGAAAGAGTATCAAGAGTACATAATGGCCGGCTCAGAAAGAATTAATCCGTATAAAATATTTCTATTATTTTGTATGTTTTCCACAGTGCTGTGGAAGTAACACGCTATTCGGAGTACAAGATTCTGGAAAATTATCGTATTCACACAGATGAGGGCAAGTGAAACTCTACCTAATGTTGCTGCCACAGACAGAAAATAGGATCTACACAATTGCAGATGGAGGAAGGATTAACAGACCGACGGCATACAAAGAAGAAATGCAACTTGATAAAAGCCACATTAGTCCTGCCGTAATGTACTTTTGCATCTAGAGTCGTCATTGATTTTCTTGCACCACACAGCGTTTTTTACAGTTTAGGTTTGCTTTTGACTAGAGAGTAAGGGCTGTCAAATGTGCCAAAAAATCTCTATTCAACATTGCATGTCATAAATTACACGGGGGGAAAATTAACTGAAAACATAATGATTTATGTTTGCTCTTGCTTACATCAGTAGGAAGATTTTTATCTTAAGTTGGTTAAACAACACTCTGTCTGTTAATTTAAGTAAATTACTGGATTTTATCTTCTTCGAGATAATTCTGTAGGTCGTCAGTGTTTCGGTCATCCGGTACCATGCGGATACTTACGCGATGTGTTGGATGGTTCAATACTGCTCCAGCAAGTCTTCTATCAAGCATCCGTTTTCACAACCATAAGATGACTGACTATTGAGCCTAAATATTACCACAAATTTTATGTTAGACATTGATAAATAGACAGTGAGCATGTTGAACACCAAATAGCCCTCAAAAGTACTCTGCTTAAAGACTAACATACGCTTTTTTCTCCTCATCTCACTCAGTTGTAATTTGAATCCAGATATATTTTTATTTCATTTTATTATTATTTTATTTTATTACTGTGGCCCTTGGCCACTTTTCTTTCGGCATGAGTGAAACTTCTCACTGCTGCTATTTTCCACCAGTTCTAACAATGTGACTGTTTTGAAGGCAAAAGCTGTGCCGTCATTTTTTACTTCGAAAAAATCGTACTGCTTATTCGCCTCCTATCCGTCATTATTACACAAACACTAACTGAATTCCAAATAGGATTCGAGAGACGAGTGTTTGATGGGATGGCTTCTATGAATTCAGTCTTTTCTCTAAACCCGCGACCTCTGTTCTCAATCTGGTTAACCATACATATTTGCATACTGAGTCATGTGTCCTTTAAAAATTTGAAGTGAAGGAGACCACACTTGTACTCGTCAACAGTGGAGTGTGGATAGGTATCCAGTATTACCAAACGTCCCAGGGCGGTTTCATATTAAGAAATATCCAAACATTTTAAATGACCACATAGTCACCTATTCCAAACATAAAGATCAAATGCACTCCCACGAGCAAGGTGATTCATATGGAGGACGTTAGAATATGTGCTTTCCGGGGTGATTCTAGGAAACGATACTGAATTAACACAAACACTGTCAGGAACTGATGATGCTTATTACCTGCACTGTCTCGGTTTCATTACCATGAACTTATGTTGCAATATTGAGGAATTTTCCGGTCCAAACATCCCAGATCAAATTAGTGGACTATTCAGCTCCAGTTCAGGCGGTAAAATACATTTCCCATGATTTCTGTAGTTCTTCTCGGTGGTTAGCCGCTCAGCCATTTCGCATGAAGAATAAATGAACCAATTCACAGACCAGCGCACACGCTCTGAAGAAATTTTTCCGCCCGATGAAACCTGCGATTGAAATAAATTACTATCATACAGAAACAAAATTGTTTCATGACTAAGAATCCTTCCGCTTGGTGATGTAGAGGCCACCGTAAATGGAGTACTAGATTATTCCGAGGAATATCAAACATGTACAAGTGGACTTCAGTGGTGAAGTCTGATTTTTAATGTACTACTCATAAGGTTGCTGAAAATCCGTCTTTGAACATCATTAAGGAGAGATTCAGCTGGGTTCCAGGTGAGTCTCTCGAAAAAACCAAATT